TTTCAAACGTAGATTGTAGCGGAATGAACGGTTGTTGCTCTTTTTCGCCATCTTGTATCGTTTCTGCACATCGCCAAGGCGCTGATTCAACATAACGATCTGGTCGCAGGCTTTTCTGAAGCGGCGTTCTGCTTCACCCAAAGTGAAACGTTTATCGAGAGATTTGATTTTAGAAGGCATCTTGAATATTGCTATTGCAAGACAGATATGATTTCAAATTGTGTGTCTCCTGTATTTTATATCATTCTGAGTAGCAGATATGCAAGTCATAAGTGCCAAACGTTGGCACGGAGAATACGCTATCCGATCAACTGAGTTGACACTTAAGCTAATTAACACGTGTCGTTAAAATAACAATGACATCGCTAATCGATTATTAATCACCATCATATGCATGATTAGATTAGTGTGTATTTCCTAAACATTCCATGCGTGTCTTTTGAGTAAATGAGCCAATGCCAAGTTTGCAAACTTGTTGATTAATTACAGAAATGGATTAAATCAAAATCAAATAAATATGTATAAAATATTGAATTAATACATTTTTCATGAAATAAACTCTCCCATTTTAAAATGTGTATTGTTTTTGATATGTATTAGATAGAATACTTTTAAAATTACAAAATCCAAATTTCATTTACTCATTCACTCATTTATTGTATTTTTCATTCACTCCTTCATTCATTATTCATTCAATCACTCCATCGTCAAACATTCATTCAATAATCCCACCATCATTTATTTATTCTTTCATTTTTATTATTTCATTCATTCATTCATTCATTCATTCTTTCAATTATTCATTCATTTATTCTTTCATTCAATCACTCCATCATTCATTCATTTTTTCTTTCATTCATTCATTCCTCTTATTTATTTATTCATTCATTCTCTCCTTCATCATCATTCATTCATTCATTCATTCATTCATTCATTCATTCATTCATTCATTCATTCATTCATTCATTCATTCATTCATTCATTCATTCAATTCAATTAATCAATCAATCAATCAATCAAACAAACTCTTACCACACATTACCATTTATAATCTATTCATTACACTTAAATATAATCATTTTAAAAAAATGAAGAACTCTTATGTATGGTCTTATACGTAAACAGAAATGAATCTGTTGGGCATAAAATCTATCTTTTCATATATGTTGGGCATTCAATCTGTTTATTGATAAAATATATATGTATATAAAATAGTTGTGACAATTATCTGATAGGTATTTCTTTCTAAATATTTGGTTGGCTCTAAGAAGGGCCGTTTGTGGAAAACGACATGCGATTTACATCCAAATGACTCAATCTGAGTCTGAAGAATAGTCTGAGTCGGAGCCAGATACAATTTCAACTGACTCATTGAAAAGCTCTCTGCGCAATTCAGCTACTTGGTCTGCTTTTGCATATGCATAGTCATAGAACATGTTGCGAGACCCTTCAATGACGGCAAGTTTCAAACGTAGATTGTAGCGGAATGAACGGTTGTTGCTCTTTTTCGCCATCTTGTATCGTTTCTGCACATCGCCAAGGCGCTGATTCAACATAACGATCTGGTCGCAGGCTTTTCTGAAGCGGCGTTCTGCTTCACCCAAAGTGAAACGTTTATCGAGAGATTTGATTTTAGAAGGCATCTTGAATATTGCTATTGCAAGACAGATATGATTTCAAATTGTGTGTCTCCTGTATTTTATATCATTCTGAGTAGCAGATATGCAAGTCATAAGTGCCAAACGTTGGCACGGAGAATACGCTATCCGATCAACTGAGTTGACACTTAAGCTAATTAACACGTGTCGTTAAAATAACACAGACATCGCTAATCGATTATTAATCACCATCATATGCATGATTAGATTAGTGTGTATTTCCTAAACATTCCATGCGTGTCTTTTGAGTAAATGAGCCAATGCCAAGTTTGCAAACTTGTTGATTAATTACAGAAATGGATTAAATCAAAATCAAATAAATAAATGTATAAAATATTGAATTAATACATTTTTCATGAAATAAACTCTCCCATTTTAAAATGTGTATTGTTATTGATATGTATTAGATAGAATACTTTTAAAATTACAAAATCCAAATTTCATTTACTCATTCACTCATTTATTGTATTTTTCATTCACTCCTTCATTCATTATTCATTCAATCACTCCATCGTCAAACATTCATTCAATAATCCCACCATCATTTATTTATTCTTTCATTTTTATTATTTCATTCATTCATTCATTCTTTCAATTATTCATTCATTTTTTCTTTTATTCATTCATTTATTCTTTCATTCAATCACTCCATCATTCATTCATTTTTTCTTTCATTCATTCATTCCTCTTATTCATTCATTCACTCCATCATCATCATCATTCATTCATTCATTCATTCATTCATTCATTCATTCATTCATTCATTCATTCATTCATTCATTCATTCATTCATTCATTCATTCATTCAATCAATCAATCAATCAATCAAACAAACTCTTACCACACATTACCATTTATAATCTATTCATTACACTTAAATATAATCATTTTAAAAAATGAAGAACTCTTATGTATGGTCTTATACGTAAACAGAAATGAATCTGTTGGGCATAAAATCTATCTTTTCATATATGTTGGGCATTCAATCTGTTTATTGATAAAAAATATATATATATATAAAATAGTTGTGACAATTATCTGATAGGTATTTCTTTCTAAATATTTGGTTGGCTCTAAGAAGGGCCGTTTGTGGAAAACGACATGCGATTTACATCCAAATGACTCAATCTGAGTCTGAAGAATAGTCTGAGTCGGAGCCAGATACAATTTCAACTGACTCATTGAAAAGCTCTCTGCGCAATTCAGCTACTTGGTCTGCTTTTGCATATGCATAGTCATAGAACATGTTGCGAGACCCTTCAATGACGGCAAGTTTCAAACGTAGATTGTAGCGGAATGAACGGTTGTTGCTCTTTTTCGCCATCTTGTATCGTTTCTGCACATCGCCAAGGCGCTGATTCAACATAACGATCTGGTCGCAGGCTTTTCTGAAGCGGCGTTCTGCTTCACCCAAAGTGAAACGTTTATCGAGAGATTTGATTTTAGAAGGCATCTTGAATATTGCTATTGCAAGACAGATATGATTTCAAATTGTGTGTCTCCTGTATTTTATATCATTCTGAGTAGCAGATATGCAAGTCATAAGTGCCAAACGTTGGCACGGAGAATACGCTATCCGATCAACTGAGTTGACACTTAAGCTAATTAACACGTGTCGTTAAAATAACAATGACATCGCTAATCGATTATTAATCACCATCATATGCATGATTAGATTAGTGTGTATTTCCTAAACATTCCATGCGTGTCTTTTGAGTAAATGAGCCAATGCCAAGTTTGCAAACTTGTTGATTAATTACAGAAATGGATTAAATCAAAATCAAATAAATATGTATAAAATATTGAATTAATACATTTTTCATGAAATAAACTCTCCCATTTTAAAATGTGTATTGTTATTGATATGTATTAGATAGAATACTTTTAAAATTACAAAATCCAAATTTCATTTACTCATTCACTCATTTATTGTATTTTTCATTCACTCCTTCATTCATTATTCATTCAATCACTCCATCGTCAAACATTCATTCAATAATCCCACCATCATTTATTTATTCTTTCATTTTTATTATTTCATTCATTCATTCATTCTTTCAATTATTCATTCATTTATTCTTTCATTCAATCACTCCATCATTCATTCATTTTTTCTTTCATTCATTCATTCCTCTTATTTATTCATTCATTCTCTCCTTCATCATTCATTCATTCATTCATTCATTCATTCATTCATTCATTCAATTAATCAATCAATCAATCAAACAAACTCTTACCACACATTACCATTTATAATCTATTCATTACACTTAAATATAATCATTTTAAAAAATGAAGAACTCTTATGTATGGTCTTATACGTAAACAGAAATGAATCTGTTGGGCATAAAATCTATCTTTTCATATATGTTGGGCAGTCATTTCATTCATTCATTCATTCTTTCAATTATTCATTCATTTATTCTTTCATTCAATCACTCCATCATTCATTCATTTTTTCATTTTTTTCTTTAAAAAAATGAAGAACTCTTATGTATCGTCTTATACGTAAACAGAAATGAATCGGTAGGGCATAAAATCTATCTTTTCATATATGTTGGGCATTCAATCTGTTTATTGATAAAATATATAATAGTTGTGACAATTATCTGATAGGTATTTCTTTCAAAATATTTGGTTGGCTCTAAGTGGAAAACGACATGCGATTTACATCCAAATACACTCATTTATTGTATTTTTCATTCACTCCTTCATTCATTATTCATTCAATCACTCCATCGTCAATCATTCATTCAATAATCCCGCCATCATTTATTTATTCTTTCATATTTTATTTATTCATTCATTTATTTATTCTTTCATTCAATCACTCCATCATTCAACCATTCATTCTTTTACCCTACTGTACAGTAGCTAAATTTACTATATATTCCCAAGTAGTGCATTTTTAAAAAAGTTTTATTATTAATAATTTATTATTATTATTATTATTTATTATTATTATTTTTATTATTAATATTATTATTATTATTATTATTATTATTTGTACTTTATTTTTTATCCAATCAATTTATATCTTATTTAATCTGTCGGGTTTCCCTGCACTTTTTCCGAGTGAGCTCCCTTTTATCAGTATTATCTTACTATGCTACTGTACAAGGGCAGTAACTGAAATACATGTGTAAACAATCTATAAAATCAACGGGAGATTATTTGATTTATAATTTTACCATTAGAACTACTGTATTGTTAAAATAGACTAACACTGTTTCAGAAATTCATACGTAAAACTCTTTCTGTTTAATGTTCATATAATTTCACAGTGATATTACTGTACAGTACAGTAATTATTCACTGAGCTAGGCAGTGACGTCATGGTATGTGAGACCTCTATCATGACCTAGATTCATACCTTCAAAATATCTTGGTTTGTCGAGAGCGAACAATTTGTTAAATATTTTGTAATTAGAAAACACAACAATGGATTTATTCTTTAACTTTTTGATCGTATTATTATTTCATACATCACTGGATTTAATCGAAGGTATGATCTTGTTACACAGAATAATAATTAAATGAATATAAGAGACTTGTTCTGCAACAGTATTCGGATATATCCATATTAACTTATTTTAGAAGAATATTTGGTGTTTTTTCATAAAAAATAATTTAACGCTTTACAGTATATTTTATGAAATATATAAATGGTTTTTTATATTCTTTTATTCGATCTGGAAAGTTACATTTTTAGTCCTAAATTCGATGAAGTTCGAAAAATTGTATGTTGTAGATAAATGGAATAAATGATAATAATATAAAACAGATTAATACTTCTATTAGATCTAAGCAGTTCCAATACCATGGGATTGAAATGCATAGAATAACTGGGTATAAAATAAATGATTTGATAATTGGTATGGTTCCAGAAAAACCATTAATTTTATTTTTAATTGAACATTAATTGAACATTATCCTATACAATGTACAAGTAAAATGGTTTCCTGCGGGGAACATTTTTAATGATATAAAGATATTTCATCTAACTATTTTCAACATTGTTTGGGGGAATAAATAAACGTTTGTATATAGTTGGGATATAGTTGACGATAATCGATCAATATAGAAGAAGGTCTTTGGAAACTTGGTGACCGTTGATGACCGGAGAAGGTCGAACATAAAACAATTATTTCTTTTTAAGAAAATGATTAAATAGGCCTACCATTTTTATTCCGAGCAAAAAAAAAAGTAAACGCACAAGTTTACGCAGAAAATATCTCTATTCATAATGGCAGATGGCACTACGAATATTTTAATTAATTATTTTGTAGATTTTCAGTATATACAATTTATTGTTTGTAAAATTTGAGATACATATTAAAGAAACATTGATAATTTTCAAACACATAATTCAAGTGTTTCCACCTTAAACGGTAATGTAATTATGGGAAAATAAAAATATCGCGTAATAGTTTTTTGTTCTTAATTACGTCTAGAGGTAAATCTGTAACGTACCGGCAGACGGTATTTAGCCAGGTTTTCGAAAAGGTCAATTAACCAATCATGTACGGTTTACAGATCACATGCTCCTCCATGTACCGAAAACAGGTCACGTGCTCCTCCATGCCTCAAAAGTAAAACGCGTACTAATACCCTGCGGTCTCCAGACCGCAGGGAATAAAGGTCTGCTTAGAGTGATCGTAAACGATTTTAAAGCAGTATCATGTAGATTAATAGAGACTCTTACAAGCAGCATTATAAATAGAGTACAGTACCTTTAATTAAATGGTTACAAAAGAACTTAAACATAAGTAAATGGTACCTTTAAGATATTACTAGTTATCACTATTAGCATCATTATTGCTTTTAGACTGACCTTTTTATTTATATATTATAATGCTTTTGCAATTTAACCTCAATGTTTTATTAATTTCTACAAAAATCAACATATATTTTGCCTGAACATGTGTATAATAATAAATTATTATCAAACTGGTCAGGAACTCTTCCGGTTACAACACAGATTCTTCTTTTCTTAACAGCTTATGACCGGCATAAATGTCAAGCAAAGGTTCGGACCAGTCGCCATTATGTTGCAACTTTTGAAAAAACGTGTTACCTGTTCGTGAATCATGAAAAATACTGGGACGAGGCACGTTCTTACTGTTGGAATATGGGCGGTGAAATGCTATACATAGAGAACTCTAAAACAATGAATTTTATAAAATCAGTGTTGAACTCTAGAGAACTAGGTTGGTCAAATAATGGTGTTTGGAATGGTGCAAGTGATCTTAGAGACAAAGGTTGGGAGTGGACAACTGGTATGCTTTCTTGCATTGTTTTTTTTTCTTTTGTGTGTAAGATTATTTTGTGTTACTACTGAATATATTAAAGACAAGGATTTCTCTGAATGTTAATATATATTTATTAATCCAGATATTAGTAGAATATTTTATTATGTTTTCTCTTACCATAAAAATGCAATTGAAATAAATGAAACATTGTTACTTTAAGTTTAATTTATTTAATTTATTTCATATAATGTATTGTACATTTCATATTGCAGGAAAATCTTTAACTTACAAAAATTGGGCTGATGGTGAACCTAGCTCTTTTCTTGGAATCATTTCTGTGGAGAACTGTGCTTGTATGAGACGTAGTGATGATTGGAAATGGCATGATTTCCATTGCCATTGGAGTAACTTTGAGTACAACTTTATTTGTCAGTTCCGTAAGTAGAAAAATTATGATCTAGTTTACACATATTTATTTGAGTCTTATTGCAAGACAGATTTTTCTAGTTTATATTTATTTAATGACATTCATTTGTGAGTGATTCGGTGAAGGTTTTACACCAGAACCATTCTGTGTTGATAACATTAGCACTGATAATCTAGAAGTCACAACTTTTAAGTGATTGATCAATCAAGCCCCAGTGAGGTTACAAACATCTTTCCTTCTAAATTTTGTATGGCGAAAACAACAGTTGTGATCCAAGATTCAAGCCATGATCTTTATGTAGAGAGGTAGATATTTCAGACACTAGGGTATCAGATGGACTTAGGTTACTGAAATATGTGGGGGGGGGGGAGAATTGTTTAAAGTTTTATGTCTGGACATCTCATGATCTTACTAGAATTTAAACTCTGTTTTATAACAGTAATGCAACAGATATCAACTATGTTGTATTCACAATTATATCAACATTTGGTCATCTCACAAGTACAAAGATATTTATAGTAATAATTTTATTTTACACATTTTTAAAGGATTATAAATGTATTTATAAAAGCAAGTTTTTGAAGCAATACTATCATATAGATACGTAGAAATACTGTCAGTGTCTCGAGATAAAGATTTTTGTTTAATGTGGTTACAAACACAATATTGAACCATTCAAGCAAAAAAAACATTTCATAATAATGCTCTTATAAATTGTCATTTCTAGATGTTTGCACTGATTTAGTAAAGTGGACTTTTCATCTGGGAGATCTTTATGATTGACATATGCAATCATCTCTTGATTACAGGAAATGTCCTGTTAACTGGTTGTCATTTGTTTTCAATAACCTTTGATTTTATTGTGTAAGATGAAATCAGAACACTTTTCCCAGTCTGGTGTAAATGATTGTCACTCATTAAACTTGATTAAAGGTGTTGCGAAATTTTTCTTATCTTACCTTGATATTATGTGAAGATGATTTTTACTAGAGCATTCACTGCAGAGAGGGTTTTACTGTAAAGAGGTTCCATTGTAAAGAGGCTAGAGGGTTTTACTATATAAAAGTTCAATCTGTTGTAGGAAGATTTTGCTGTATGGAAGGACTGTTGTGTATAGAGTTTTATTTTATGGAAGACTCAGGGCTCTCAGTAGGGTCAGAATTTCATGAGTCAAAGACTCTTTGGCCAAAATTTTCATGAGTCAAATCATTTTTTTCTAGTATCATTTGACTACATCAATCATTTTTATGTTACAAAAATGACTGTATTGGAGGTCATTTTTGGAGATTCCAAAGTCTAAATTGACAGAAATAAATGCCTAATTATAAATGTCTATACCCCCCTCCACCTAAAAAAAAACAAAAACAAAAAAACAAATAAAACAAAAAATGAATTGCTGTGAAAGAATAAAATAAGCAGCAGCTTTTCTGATTAAATGTATAAAATATAAAAAAATATCTTAACTGGTATGCAATATCATATTAATTTTAAATACCAAAATGTACCAGGAATATTTAATGGAAAAAGAAATAACAAATGCACAGGTACTCCAAGTAAATCAAAGACGTAATATAAACCTTTAAAAGTAATCAATAATTGACTACTCAAGTATGTAATTCTTATCAGTTGTGTAGAGCTATTTTTAGTGCTGTCAAATTGCAGCCACTGAATTGTCGCGCTTCAGTGCACAGGCTATAAACAATTGCGGTGTGTAAAGCATTTTATACACGGCTTATACTGCCTGTTGACATTTTTAGCTCGACTTTTCTATGAAAAGGGGAGCTATCCTACTCGCCCCGGCGTCGGCGTCGGCGTTAGCGTTGGCGTCACACCTTGGTTAAGTTTTTCGTACCACCCCACTTTATTTCAGAAGTATTACAAGTATGGCTTTGAAACTTACCATACTTGTTCACCATCATAACCTCCATCTACAGACAAGAGTACATAACTCTGTCAAGGTTTTTTGACAGAATTATGGCCCTTTTTTGACTTAGAAAGTGTATTGAGCTTGGTTAAGTTTTTTGTACCACCTCACTTTATTTCAAAACCATTGGAGGTATTGCTTTGAAACTGACCATACTTGTTTACCATCACGACCTTCATCAACAGACAAGAGGACATAACTCTGTCAAGGTTTTTGACAGAAATAATGCCCCTTTTTGACTTAGAAAAATACATTGAATATGGGTAAAATCCACTTATTGCCTTAACCCTTTGAGATATTGCTTTGAAACTTTTAATGCTATTTCACATCATTACCCCCATCTGTACGCAAAGAGAAGGTAACTCTGTCAAGGATTTGTTTTAAAAATTAAGGCCTTTTATCGACTTAGAATCTTGGTTAAGTTTTTTGTACCACCTCACTTTATTTCAAAACCATTGGAGGTATTGCTTTGAAACTGACCATACTTGTTTACCATCACGACCTTCATCAACAGACAAGAGGACATAACTCTGTCAAGGTTTTTGACAGAATTATGCCCCTTTTTGACTTAGAAAATACATTGAATATGGGTAAAATCCACTTATTGCCTTAACCCTTTGAGATATTGCTTTGAAACTTTTAATGCTATTTCACATCATTACCCCCATCTGTACGCAAGAGAAGGTAACTCTGTCAAGGATTTGTTTTAAAAATTAAGGCCTTTTATCGACTTAGAATCTTGGTTAAGTTTTTAGTACCAGTCCACTTTTTGACTGAACTGTTTGAGATATTAATTTGAAAGTTGGAATACTTGTTTACAATCATGATTCCCAAACATGTCCAGGAGAAGGTAATTCTGTCAAAGATTTTATTTGAATTATGGCCCTTAACTGTCAATGTTTTGTATTATAGGCAAGCACTAAAAAAGTCGAGCGCGCTGTCTTACGGACAGCTCTTGTTAATGAGTGTGATTTGAACATTTGTAGGATTTGATAGGTAATTAGGGGTGGATTTAGGGTAATTATTATTGCATAGCTGAAAATCCCATGTGGCAAATTGACTCTTGAGGAGATTTTATCACGTGTCAAATTTGTGCATTTCCCGATTTTCACGAGTCAAAATCCGGATGCCCGTGTCAATTGAGAGCCCTGGAAGTTCTGTTGTATGGTGGTTTAACAGTATAAAAGTACCATTACATAGGGGTTTTACTGTAGAGATGTTATAACGTTTTGCTGTGTTATGAACCTTTGTAAAGAGGTTTTACTGTATAGGCATATAGAGATTTTACTGTGAAAAAGTTATAAAGGTTTTACTTTATATATGAACCTTTGTATAGAGATTTTACTGTATAGATGTAAACATTCTATGAAAATCGTGCTGTCACAATATTGGAATAACTTGGGAATGCTTATTTTGTGGTGCAGAAAGCTATTATTATAAAAAAAAATCCAAAAAAACTTTACATTTGTCTAGCCATGTGTTAGACAGAAATGATTAGATTAGAGTAATGCACTTGACGCTGTAACTTTAGGTGACCTTACATAACACAGAATGTACCAGACTTTATTTATCTGCCTATCCTTAACTTATCAACTACATGATAAAATGTTCTAGCCTTTCAGAAGCCAAGTTCATTAAGGAAAATCTCTCCCATTCCACCAAGTTCAGTAAAGTGTTTACATTCATTAAAGGGTAAAATCAGATCATATTTTATCTAATTGCAATACAGGACAGGTGATTGATTATTAAAGGGAATGCACTTGTCAATTAAAAAAATACGGAGGTTTTTTTTTATATTAAATGATATTTCTACACTTCCTCCAAATCGTTTTCATGTCCTTTGATAAAAGCTTACTTTACACTGTAAATATTACCAGTATTGAAAATTTTACTAGTTGTTAAAAGGTAAAATTGATAATAAATTGTAAGATGTGTCAATAAATTGTAAGGTGTGTCAAAGCGGTCTTGTTAAATCAATATTATATTGACAGGATATTGCGGGGTAATAGTTTAAATCATTCCACCTCTTTAAAATAGGACAGGGGTAATGAAAGTAAACAGTAGGGGGATTGGCAAGGTTGTTGGCTCTTTTGACCTTTATCTCACCTTATCACCTTGTTACTATCAATGTAGGGAAATTGTTCTACCTTGTGGGGGAGGTGTCATAATTGATACAATTTGATAGTTGAAGGAGTTAAGGATATTTCTTTGTGTACATGAAATTGGGACATATATGAATGATGTATATATATATATTGCCTCCCACTAAAACCATAAAAACATTTTACTCAACTTACACTCTCTTTCTTAGTTTTATAATTATCTCATTTTTTACATGTAACTTAATTACTCAAGCTGTGTAACAGATAAGTTTACTAGAGGAATTATGTTCATGTGATATCCCTAAACTCTTAGTACACATATCAAGTTTCTACAAATTACCTGCAACTGTCAAAATAATTATTATTCTAGGTCAAAGGTGATGAATGCCACATGTAGGATGGGTGAAGTGGAGTCCATGTTCTCTGTGGGGTCTCTATTTATCTAACCATGTCCTGCTTAAAAGATTTGACAAACCACAAAATTTTGTCCGAACAGAATTTTGTTTTTAAGACAGAAATTTGTTTAATATACACCTTAATATTCATGTTTTATAATAGTTCTGTCTTTAACCACATTGAGAGGAATATTTTGTAACAACTGATAGCCAATAAATACATGTACTTTTCTATAAGAAAAAAGGCTTGATTTAAATTTTAAATGGACATCACAAAAGGCCAGGCAAAATGTACTGAATTAAAGGATTTTGAGTCTGACTTGTTATCATATTCATTAATTGATTCAAGTTAACGCTGATTATCGCAATGGATAATTTAAACATTATCCCTGTATCATGAATTACAACTAAATCATGTGTACCATGTCTTGGGATTTATTAATTGTAACATTAGCACCTGCTAGTATTCCTATCACTCTGGCCATTAGGGCCGTTTTTGGGTTGAAATGTGGCCCCCTTCCCCTCCCCAGAAAGTTTTCTCCTCCACCACACAATATTCCCCTTTCCATTGGCCCTGTCATCATAATCC